TTTAACATTTTCTTTGAATGTAATGAAAAAGAACTTGGACGACGACAAACGTTCACAACCAGTGAGTCTGCAGGAGCTCAGCTCCACGGCTCCTCTCACTCCTCTGCTGGTCCCTCCTCTCTTTTGTCTGATGGTTTGAGGGACACACTTCCCTCTTATCTTTCTGTGCCAGTGGTCTGACTGGAGATGGAGGTGGATATTGTCCAGAAACAGACAGACAGACAGACAGACAGACAGACAGACAGACAGACAGACAGGCGCCCCCCCCCGGCAGAGTCCGTCAGACGGTCCCAGCTGGGTTCAGACCGGTCAGGCTTCAGATGACTGTCCAGGACTTTAACTGTGTCCCATGGACGGTCAATAAAAACATGGCGACTCGCCACCGTGGCAGCCCTTCGACACTGTTGACATAACTTTTGAATGCAGACTGGAGGAGCCGGGATTTCATAATATTATCCTGAGAGAACTGGGACTCTGGTGAAAGCAAACAACGATAGAGAACATTTCTCTTTCTCACAGTTAAGTGCAGTTTGTATTGTTGTGAGTGTAAAAGTCACTTCCTGCCTTTCTGTCCGGTCTTCTAATCGCAATAAGAAGTCGTCCTCCTGAGACCCTCAACCCGCCGCCCTCTCGCTGTGCTGCATCGTGCCCTTTAACGGAGATGCCCTTTCTTAGAATAACGTCTTGACCCCCCCCCCGGAAGAATAAAACCCCTCAATGTCCACACCTCGCCTTGCTCCTCTCGCTCAGTTGTCATGGCGATATCTCCACTGTCATCACTGTGCAGAACTTTGGTCCCTTAATAAAAGGTGATTGAATCGAGATGTAACCAATGTCTCTGTATGTGGACGTCCTTCCTCCTCGAGCTTTCTTAGGATTGTCATACAAAAGTCAATATTAAATATATTAGTATTAACTCTCGGCACACATGCGCTCGCCCGTCACCACCAAATATGTATTTGTAACATACCACCATCATGGAAGTTTTTATGGATCAATTCTTTAAACCTTTTTTTCTGAGAGGGCGACATGACGCGTAATGAACGGAAAGCTTTCTGTATGTGCTGTATAATAATTCAAACTGATTATTACAGATCTATAACTCTAATTTTTCCTTGAGAATAATTTATGGATCTTGAGAAAAAAGTCAAGCATTTTATCGGTATTTATGAGTGTGTGCAATTTGATCTAGTGAATTTAAATGGGGTTTCATACGGGGGCTGGGCCTTGGCAGAGATTGGAGCTTTATTGATGCCATTCTAAGTTTCTCATTTGACAGTGAAAACCACGTAAAATAAAAAAAACACAGTTAAATTCTTTTAGTGACAAGTAACGACAAGTGTTTTTATTCAATACTCAACAGAAAAACACTTTCAAGCAACAGAAAATAAATGAACTCAAATAAAAATGTACAAAAGTTATTTATATTCAATCTCATATTTTCTGCGCATCAATTCTCGTCCTCCACCCCGACTCTGACCCACGATGGCACAGTCCCTAATTAATTCTGGTCATGGGACCCAGTTACCTTTCTGTTGAAGTGAACCCCCCACACAGCACGAACAGAAAAAATCAAACCAAAACCACTTGAGTTTACATTTACTTCTCTGTTTTAACAGCTAATGAATCACTTTTTAACGTTGTGTGAATTCACGACAGAAACAAACCTTTAAATGAAACTAGTTAAAATAGAGAAGCTGATCTTTAAAACATATAGAAGTTACGATCCCTTCCTATAACCAAACTTCCAACATCCGTCTCTGAAGGTTCGTGTTTGCATCCCTGTCCACCCCCCCCCTCCCGTCCTCCTTCCTTATTGTTTATCATCCCCTTCTCTGCCTCTCTTCTTCTTCGCCTGTCGCTCTCCCATCATCTCCCTCCCCTCGCTCTCTCCAGCTCTCCAAAACGCAGGGTCTGGCCACACAGAAACCACTAATGGGCTCTCCAACAGGGTGGGGGTGGGGGTTGGGGGGAGATGTGTGAATGCGCGACAGCAACATCGCCGCCACTACACCACCGCACCGAGCGTGGAGAGGTGCACTCAGCACAGAGAGGGATGCAGGGTGTGCGGCCGCATTCTTCGTATTGTTATGGAGCTCGTGTTATGTAGCTCACAAACGTATCTGTATGTTTATGGGGGTTTGTTTGTCCGAATGTATGCAGGAGAAGAAGTGCTTGTGTTTTTAATGGGTTCCACAGAACATTTAAACACAGCAACAGCAAGAAGTGGAGGATGTTTCTTTTAGTTTCCCCCTTAAGAAATCTGGAGGTCGTTCAAAAAAAGTGCAGATATAGTCGACCGGCATGAATGAAGGCAGAAAGAAGGATTTAGAGATTTATGCACACGCTCTTTGAAAGAAAATATGTTGCTCCAGTTTATGAGTCATGAGGAATTATGCTTAAAATTGGCAGACACGGACATTCGCATGCTTTAGCTTCCCCGACATCGCACAACCGGAGAAACAGAATGAGCGAATGTATGTTGCTCTGTGGTGGTGTAATGGTGGAGGAAGGAAACTAATGCAAGTTAATAGAATTTTTTCACTACAGGCTCTTGGGATTGCAGTCCGCGAGTTGCAATGAGGATGAGTCATACAATTCGGAGGCAGTCGGTCGGTTTCTTTGTGCCGCAATATGCACACATTATCCAGCCCGCCCCTCTTGACAAGTCCACACACAGAGACACACAACATGTTCATACAGAGAATGTCTTTAATACGAGTTATATCGTTGATCAGGCTAATAGCGTTGAGGTTTGTGTAGCACGACAGGTTGCCACGCTACCTCTCCGCTGTAATCTTTGACAGCCAAAGTCACTGTGCTTCGCTTTCCGACGGCTCCACATGCATATACAAACACCTAATTGGCTTCAAATGCCATCAGCGAGAAAAAGAAACGAAGAAACGCCGGAGGGAAGAATATGCGAGAGAGGGAAATTGGAGGAGGAGAAGAAAGGCGAGAGGGGGAGGAAGGGCCGCTGAATAACATGAGAGAGAATGAGGGTGAGAGAGAGGCAGCGACGACAGGAGGTGAAGCAGAAACATGGTCACGGCGAGAAGAGAAGAGCAGATGCAACAGGGAAGGAAAGCCACCAGAAGAAGAATTGACCGAACCCCCCACACCCGTTTTCCTGAGCACCTCTGGGTGGTCCTTACTGGCTGTTAACTAATTAGCAGCATCTAACTTTGTGTCCCACCGATTAAACTGCGAGTACGTCCACAAGCCCTGTCCTCAGAAGAGTGGAGATTAAAAAGGGACGCTGCGATTTATTGAACGCAGCGTTGCCCTTTTACAGTGGCAGTGAGAGAGACCAAGCAGCTACTGTCCCACTGGCATTTCGCTGCCATTTAGCCCAAAGAAGCGACACGTCTATCCAGAGGTAATTACTCCAATTATGAGGCTGATTATCTGCCTTTCTCAGAGCCCTGTTAATAGTGTGTGTGTGTGTTGCAGTCCCAAGTGCGTCAGGTGCGTTGTTTGGTTCAACAGCTGATGTGGAGATGCAGGGTTTTTCAGGAGAGAGGAAGCGTTGATGACGTTTTAAACGTGTGATCCGCTACAGAGAAGAAACGGGAAGAAATCTTGCTCTGTGAGGATTTGTTAAAGGAATTAAAGGAAAAGTTAATGTCGACACCACGTCCGAACTTCTGACCAAACTCAACACTGACCTGTGATCACTCAGTAAATATAGTAAAGTGTTAGCATTATTTAAAGTTGTATTTTTGTCAGTGTGATGCAGTTGAGTCCAATATTCAGTTGACTTTTATCTCAGTTTTGTTCTCCACCTAAAGGAAACATCTGGTTCTACAGCAGCTAAATGCTTCACGAGCTGCTTCCTGCGTCTGTCTGTGTTTTGAGCCTCTTCACAGAACGCAGTCTGCCTGGAAATGAGTTTGAAGAGAGTTGTGAGATTGAAGTTAAACACAGCAAGGCTGCAGAGTTGCAGAAAAGAAAAAGCAGTTAGCTGAGAAAAGCCCCAAGAAGTCGTGATAGATTACGAGACTCAAAGTGTTTTTTGTTTCGTATCAAAGCTCTCCACAGAAAGCAAAATTTTAAAAGCTCATTCTCCAACAAGAAGAAGAAGAAGTCACAGTTCTCAAAGGGCTGATGTTCAGTCTCTTTCCTGACTCCTCTGCTTAGGTGAGATGATGTAAAATGAGAAATTCATAAGTCAAGTCCTGGTACTGTTGCTGAAGCAGTTGCTAAGATACTGGTGCACTTGATGAATGGGCTCATTACTTGAAGCAACAGTTTCATAAGTGTGACTCGAGTTCATTGCTTCTCGTGCAGAGAAAGTTCATTTTGGTAACTTTGATAAACGCCGTCAGAAGTTCTTTTTTTTTTACAGCGAGGCTCCTTCATGCCAGAATTTAAATACAAAATAAATGGGAAGCTGATCATTTAAAGCAAAGGTGTTTGGTTTTTGGAAATTGTCCAGTGAGATTGGGATTTGGTGTTAATTTTGAAATGGACGGTTTAAAGTGGCACTTGAACACACCGGAGATCTGCTCAGACCCAGATCTGCTTTCTGTCGCCTCGTGATCTGTGACCTCAGATATGAATTCCGGAGGAGTGGATTAGTTTCAGGGGCTTTCACACCTACTTTGTTTGGTCTCCACCTTCAGACTTCAGAAATAAACCACAGTCCAGATCGATGCACCACAATGTAGTCAGACTCGCAGTGTGAAAAACTCTCTGTTCTCTAATTTCCTCCATTCAAACAGAAATACTACCTTTTAAAACTACTGAGTATAATGGCCCATTTATAACACGCTGACATCAGACGGAGAAGCTCTCTCACCTCAGTGTCCAATTAGCGCGTTTACCCGGATGTCTCGTTTCCATCTCTGCCGATCGGAGCTGATTAAGACCTGTGTCGTTTGACTCTGCAGCAGAGAGTGAAGGATGATTGTTTCCATTCCGGTTGCAGAAGCCCGGTGTTTTAATGGGTTTTGGACCAGAGGACGACATGAACCTTGGTCGAGTTGAAGTTGAGTGGCCGGTTTTATTCCTGCTAATAAAGGAGGCTCCATCCAGCGTCCTCCTCGTCCTTTCCCTCATTTGGGGATGAGCACTCTTTCAGAGCCCACTCGTCCGTTCTGCATCTTGAACTGCTTCTGGAGGGGTTGTTAGGGTTGAGATGTCGGCCTCTTGATGTGGGTTCAGGGACAAGTGTGTGTGTGTGTGAGCGACACCGAGGGCAGAGTGGCAGTGACAGCGTGACTGGAAACACCCCACTGACTAATATCCATGGGTGTGAAAAAGGCAGCTGTCGACAGGCTATTGATATTCATGTGACTTCAGGAACATCAATCACTGTTGAAAATGACGGCTGCTCTTCAAATCTAAGATTCACATCTCACAGAAACATATTGAAGGAGAAACAAACCGTGCGTCATATAGTGATGGAAACAGCTGGTTTCCATGAGAGCATGAGTAGTGATGACATTTAATGTATCGCAATGTTACGTCTGAGTGTGTCAAAGGTAAAAGTATGAAGTTTCAAAATATGAAGTATGAAACCAACGATTTAGTATTTAAACATTGTTGGATTCATGAAATCAAAATCAATGAAGATAGAACGAATAGAACCAGAGATTGTCTGGATGAAGAAAAAATATTTAAAAAAGAGAAAATTCCTGTGCATTTCGTCCCTCGTGTCTCTGCAGCCGTCTCCTCCCACAACCCGTCTTTCCTCGTGGCCTCTTCATAACATTACGGAATAGGAAAAGGCTGCAGGCTTTTTGTTTCCCATCAAGGTTTTCACTTCCTCTGGGACTTTTTATAAGAGATATTTTTCCCTGGTTCATTTGATCTCGCTCCGTGTTGATATTATGTTTGAAGTTTGAGTTTTTTTTGATGCTCGTAGTTCCTCAGAGACGATGTCACTCACGGGGAAGAAAAGTAATGACACAAAAAGTGGTGCAGGGTTGTTGACAGAGATTTTCATTCACATTTTGTTCAAGACTGTGGGGTCAATTTTGACTCAGTCATGCATGAGATGTTTCACCCAGGATCAATTCCGCCAACATGTTTTGTAACTGCAGATAGAAAGACAAGAAGAACACTGTGGGCTATTTCAGCTGTGTCTCTGCCAGGTCAATAAACACACTGTTTTTGTTTCTTTCCTCAAGAACAACTTGAGGAGGATAAATTGCACAGTAACGGAGGTAAAGTATCGTCATCTGAGCTCCAGAAAACATTCATCTTTGCTGCTCACCCTCAAGTTTCTCACCTCTCGTCGCTTTTTCTTTCTCATTCAGCAGAAAGTTTAGTTTCGGTACATGTCCGCTTGTGTTATGACTCATGCAGCTTTGCCCTGTTCTGTCATGGCGCACACTTCCATCTCTCCGCCTCTGTTTTTTCGCTCCATTAATTCATGCTTCTTCGGCATATTTGAACACCACCGCACTTCTGATATGTTCCCATCAGATAACAGCTGAGTTAATTATTCATTACCCCAATTGGGCACATTTGCTGGTCCTACCTGTCCGCCTGCTGCCAGGATTACTCTTTACTGCTCCCATCAAGAAGTGAGCGAGTTAATGGATGTTTTAGTATTTAAAGCATGTCAAGAACCAATTTAATTTAACTCGATACACGATAATACACACAAATGTTCATCCACATTATCAAAAAACATGTTTTCTCACTCAGCACAAGTGCTATCTAGACATTCAGACAGTTCTGCATTTTAATTGCCCAGGTTTCTCCCGAGTGCTCTCACTGTCACTGCTGATATACTATATTAAATTCAACAGCAGCCTCTTTTAACACTTTCAACCGGTTTCATGGAGACTCACTCTTCAGGAGAAGGTAGTTCCGATGAGTAGCTCTTTGGATTCGAGTGACCCGGAGATTATTATTTTTATTCAGGGGCAGCATCCTTCGGAGGCTGCATTTGAAGACCGATTGTGGCACAACTAGTCCCAATTTGAAGGCTCCTTCAAATGTCCCCCCCCCCCGGGCGACGGAGGCTTCACTGGCTGGATCCTTCCCGGGCCAACATTTCCCAGGAATCATTGCGCTTCAGGGATGAACTGTTTTTAAAATAAAACCCATCTCTTCAGAGTTTTCAATAAACCAAAGAACCTTCTCGTCGTTACGTCTGTTGTTCGGCAATGATTGTTAGGGTGGGACAAGCTGGTGATGCAATAAGACCAGACCCCTGAATTGAGACACAACTTCTTCAGTTGGTCACTGAAGTGCAATGATCAGTCGTAATAAGGCTGAACTCAGTCCTCAGTAGAAAGTAGTTCCAATGGTTTTTTTGGATTTAAGTGACTGAGACACTTTCTGGAAATGTTGCTTTCTCAAATGTCATTTTAAAAAAGCTGCAGGGAACATAAACAAGTCCATCCACAGAGGCAAAGATCTTAGCAAGAGACCTTTCAAAACCTGGGCAAATTAAACCAAAAATCATTTGCATGATTCAACACTTCTACAGATAAGTGAGAAAACATGTTGTGTCATAGTGTGAACCTCTTGATATGAATATTACAACCCTGGCAGGTGTGATGTCCATTTTACCACAAAGCTCTCTCGACTCCTCCAACAGGGAGCCAGGCGAAGCAGGACTGGTCCATCCAGTGGCCCACCTCTGAATCGGGCAAGGAGAACACTCCGGTGTGCCAGCCTGAGGCCAGTCAGTGGATCCGCTTCCAGCTCTCCCAAAGCCCCAAAGTCCAGTCCAAGTACAACCAGCACATGTGCCACAGCCCCCAGGCCCTGGCCCCCCCTTTGTACGTCGATCGACTCACCGTCGACAGTTCAGCCACAGGGCTCTTCCCTTCCCTGGACTTCGGTCATCGGTCCCTGCCCCCGTCTCCCCGCCAGAGGCATTTTGGCCACACGCCTCCTCGGACTCCCCTGGTAATCAACACCATGACCCCGCCGGGCACTCCTCCCATGCGGCGGAGGAACAAAGTGAAAGCCCCTGGAACGCCGCCTCCGCCCAGCCGCAAACTCATCCATCTGCTCCCGGGCTTCACCGCACTGCACCGCAGCAAATCCCATGAGTTCCAGCTGGGGAACCGTCTGGATGACACGCAGACACCAAAGTAAGTGTTCAACCCGCCCCTGGTGGCGGCCATTTTGGATCTTTGTGTGTTCGCTTCATGACCCAAACCGCATCGCGATGTAAATACAACATGTCGCCCTGGTGGGGAAATTCAAAAACCAGGATTAGAAAGTGCTCGCTCTCAAATTTCAAACGTGATTAGCAGACAAACAAAATGATTCATTTAATTTAATCCTTAACACAAATTCATTATGTAGGTTAATTAAGCTCTGATTTATATTTATAATTTCAATGAATCACATAATTGATTGCAAATGAGGTCTTTAATGTTTGTGTAGCTAATTGAGTTTTCAGTTAAAGATCAGGGCCCATCCAGAAACATAAGAAATCTGACAAAATGCACACAGACATTGCTCTGTTCTCCTGTTTACTTAACTTTTACCTCTTTCAAAAACTATTGTGACAAATAAATAAGGTCGGATGGAGCTTTTTTTAAATTTATTCAGGTTGTTTTAATGACAAGTAATCTCAGCTTTCTAGATAAAGGTATAATATCCACATCTGGATTGTAGTGGATTACAAATGTAAAGTAGTATTAAAGGGAAATACACAAGTAGAAATACCTCAAAATTGGACTTAAGTACAAAATGTAGTTGGGTATTAGGAGTCATTGGCTTTAGCAAAAACACAATGTGTATTGATGCGAGTGACGTTTGCATCGTTACATCAACACATATAATAACTATTGATCATCTCATCACAACACATTGTTCAGTAGGTGCACAAATTAAATGTGTGAGATACAACTGGATAGAAAGTTGTTTTTGAACGATGTCCTGTGTTGTTCTTCAGGACTGAGGCTACATGGTTCTTATTGCACAAATTTGTTTCACAGTCAACACTATCTTGTTTATAAAGTTTCTCAGAGACAATATTCCGCGTTAGCGCTGGTCGCTCAATTTCAGCAAATGAGCTGCCTGAAGCGCACCTCGCTTCCTTCTGATTCAAGCAGCACAGACACACAGAAAGTTTGTGTTCCACCTTTTCTTCCCGCAGTTTTACCACAACACAATCTTCCACCGGTGCCCCATCAGATTAATTCCCAGGAAGACATCATTGGCCATAAAGAACCAACAGGCTGTCGGTAGAGATAAGGGGCCGTGGGCTGAGTTCCTGCCCGGCCGTGCCTGTGTCTGGTGCTATGCTGATCAGATTTGGCCACAAACAGGGACCGGCCCTGGTTGGTAATCAGGAACCAGAGTCTGCCTCAGGAGAGTTGCTCTCATTTTGTTAATGCCATTAGATGACAGTGTCCTATCACTGCTACACTTGGTAAGTTAATATTTGGGAGTTGTCCTCTGCCGCTGCGATGGCCATCTGGGTTATATTCGGCGTGTGCTCGGCTGCGGACAGGGCTGCATCCTCATGTCGGTGCATGTGCGTGTGTGCAATGTGAGGGGGGATCATCGCTGCGGTGAATAGGCTCAAACGGCATTAGGGCATTGATTACCGGTCCCTGAGCACTGATAGACTGCAGGCTGCAAGTCGAGCCCCTCTAATCAATGGCCTGTGTGTGTGTGTGTGTGTGTGTGTGTGTGTGTGTGTGTGCCTGGAAATGTTGCGAGTCATCGAGACGGGGCAGAGCTGCTGGCTTCTCTGGTCGCCAAGTGCCTCTCATGATGCATCATAATTGGTTGGAGGACGGTGCTGGCAAGCATCAAGTCGGTGGTTCAGTTCTGGCACGAGGCTCTCGGACTTGTTTGTATCTGCACGAGGGAATCGGCCTCGTTTGAAATTTGGCATCTGAGCGTTTTTCCTCGAGGCTAAATACCTGAAGTTAAAAGCTTTTACGTTTCTGCCACACACAGAAAAATACGGGGTGGTTTAATTTACCTGAATGTGGGGGGAGGGGTTAGTTATGCAGAGTTGTGTTGTATTTGTGTAACCCAGCCGCTGTGGTTGGATCAGTACTAGTGATGTATGAGAGATCTCAGGTAAGGTGTGGCTCTGGCTCAGGTGGTAGAGCGGGTTTTCCCCCAACGCGAGGATCAGCAACACTGAACGCAAGACACTGAGCTCCAAATTCTCCTGTAATATGATATGCGATCAAAAACAGGCTGCATGAGGAGCGGATGGAACATTAAACACATTTTATTGGATTAAATTAACTCAGCGTGTGTTCGGTCCAATAGTTACTCAAAACTGTGTTTGAAAACTTCCCTGATTGGTTCATTAATTGGGTCGTTTTCACGTTACCTTATTTTTCTCTGAAAGGCTCATGATGAAAAACAACCGACCCTGATTTTTTAAAAACTTTTCGTACTTTCACCACTTCTCTGTGATTCCCCGCTCCTTCAACACGATGCATAATTCCACCTGTCACCAACCCCAGGATTTTAATAAGCTCGCTGTGCTCCTTCAGGTCCTCATTCTCTCTTGCTTAATTGCCTGGCACTGCAGCCAGGACACAATAACCAGAGATTACCCTCTGACCCTGAGAGACATTTTTCTCCATTTATCCTTAATGAGATATGCCCAAATATCTCATTATCACTGCGTACAGTAACACAGAGAGCTGAAGTGCAGGGATGCAAAATAAAATACTGACAGAAAACTGAGGTTTGATTCCAGCTCTGATAGAAAGGTTAAATTATATTACTTTCTTTTTTGGCTCGGAAACATTCAGCTAGTTTCGATAACTTCAGAAATAAAATGTTTTTAAAGAAATATGAATTTAAATGAATTGTTTTCTGCTTTGAGATGAGATACAGTACTCTACAGAACAGTTGAATAAAATAATATTAGAGGATTAAGTATAGAATCTTTCTGTAAAAAAAATATATATATTGTAAAAATATCAATATACAGAATCAGTCCCTGATAGAAATAACAACAGACAATAGAAATAATAATAAAAAAACAGTAATATTTCACATAGTGCACACAGGTAGTAATATTTCATTTCTATTGGATATAGTGTTATATTATATATTATAGTTATATAGTTTTCAAGCACATGTTTTCTTGTCATAGTCACTTCAATGTGACAACTGAAAAGATTGTACAAGTAACTGATAAACAAGTTTTTTTTACCCCCATTATGCTTAATACTCATGTTTTTGGCTAAATACACTCTAAAAGGTATTTATTAAAGATGGCTTGATCATCTTTTGTCCCCAAAATAGGCTGTAAGCCCTTAACAGCCTTTATTCCAAATTATAATAACCTCTATTTCAATGTTAATTCATCCTCAGCTGTGTGAGATTTTGTTTTTCAGAAACTGTACAAGACTGTTTCTGCAATCACTAAAAAAACAAAACAAACCCACGGCGAATACTTTGGTCTGTGTGTGCGGACCCTCGTCTTCTGCTTTATAGATCTGTGCTGCTCGGCTTAATGTGTTTGTCTGTGTGTTTTTCTTTCTGCCCGTTTCCCTCCCGCCCCAGAAATAATGAGCAAATTGCCTCCTTATACCGATGCGCTCAGTAATATCTACATATCCAAGAAAATCTCACCCCCTGAGATGAAACAGCCGCCAATTTTGTAAGTCGCATTGAGTGAGTGGAAAAAAAACAAATCTCTCAGCTGTGTGTGTGTGTGTGTGTGGGGGGGGAGATTTCTTACCACCTGTCATGTGCAAGTGCAAATATTATAATTTTCATTTCAAATTCATTTGTGTTTTAGGAGTGATCTGGTTCTTCTGTCTACAGAGACATGTGGGTCTGTTCAGGTTCAAGATGCTCAAATCTCTTTGAGCCGCGTTGTGAGGTCATTATTATGAGGTCATAAGTGACTGGGCGGAGCCGAAGGGTAATAACGAATAGATAAACAACAACAATCGTAACGATAATAATATGACTCATATAGCACCTTCATCAACCACAAACAAAAAACCAAACAGACAGGATTGAAAACTTAACCTTCATAGTGGAGGAAATAGAAGAACAGATTCTTTAAAATCTATTTGGAATCGTGAGAGATGATTTAAAAACAGACAGCAACGTTAGAAGTCTGAGTTCCTCATGGAAAACTTCCAGACTATTAATCACACATTCAAATCACAGGAAGTCATTTAGTTTAAAAACATTACTCAATTAAAGAGAACCAGGAAAAGGAGTACATGTTTTCTATATCTAAAAATCTCAGCTTTTTTCTTCCCTGCAGCTTGCAACCTGAAACCAAATCAAAATTGAATTAGTGTGAAATTCATCAATGACCTTTTGAGTCTGGTTTTTGATCCATAAGACGTAGAAGCACAATTTGTCTGCTGGGAGCAACAGAGGAAGGAGCAAACATCAGATAGAGGAGACGGCTGTTGTCTCCGTTTCCCACACACGGCAACATCTTACAACAACGACTGCGGCCGCTCCGTAACCTCAACCATGTAGTTATTATTGTCGCCATGACAACGAAGGTCCCCCGAACCTGAGTAAAGTGGAAATGACACGAGGACGCTGCTGGTTGTTTCCTGTTTTCAACACATAGTCCATGTTTGTGTCTCTTTTATCGTAACAAAACTAAATATATACTTTACGTTTAAAAGCCGCGGCTCCAGCCCTTTAAAGGACAAGTGGTGGATGAATGTATGGGTTTTAAACCTGTGACCTACATCTTAGTTAACAGTCTCTACAATGGCACATGCTCTTCGGCTCAATAGTCCTTGAATGGAGACTGAAGACTTCAGCGATATTGATAATATTCTCTGAGTCGTGTAATTTCAGAGGATGAAACTGAATTTATGTTTCCAGACGATCTTTGGTAGATTCTCACTGAGCAGATTCCTCTTGTTCCTATGGTAATGGCTCTCGGTTAATAGATCTTATGTAAAATTAGAACTACGGGCGTTTCTTTTACAAGTAGCATGATCTCGCCAATTAGTGGCCTGAAGCGTGACGGTGTTCGACGCTGTGTCACCTCAGTGTCCTTTCTTTAAAGTTGGAACCAATAAACTAACTTTATTTCACACCATTGATTGTGTCCAGTTTAAAATCAACTCAACAGTTTTTAAAATGTGCCTCACGTGTTCCCTTCGGAGATCGG